TTAAATCCATTAATGAGCTTTACATTCAATTAAAATATTCAATTATATATTGAAACATATTTTTGAATTTATTTTTATTGACCAAAGTCAAGAAAATTTGACTGAAAGCAACCACAAGATATTTATTTCTCCACTTGGTTCTGAAAGAAAAAGCAACAGAATAATCACATTTGCCATTTTAATTTTTTAGGGATTCAGTTATCCTTTTTTGCTTAATTTTTTTTCCTATTTAATAGAATTTATTGGAACAAAATACATTGTGTTTACATATAAAAAGGATCTCAGTTCTACTTGTTCTTTGAATACATAAGAGAGAGACAGAGACAGATTTAGACTTTAGCAGTTCAAATGGAATACATTTTCCTATAGATTCAAGTTATATATGTAGAAAAGGCTTGAAGAGAATTGTTTGATAATGTTTTTCTTTCAAGTACGTAAAATTCTTAGTTTAGGCAAATAGTTACAGGTAAATTTAATCATTTTGCCTTCAGAAGAGGAAATTAAAGAGACAATACAACGAAATTTTGCCTTAATAAATAACCTGATGAATATATGTGCCCTTACATTACTCCCTTATGTTGGTTACTCTGTTTACGTGGTTTCATGATTACAAGATTTTCTAGAAAAGATGATTGCTTAGAAATCAAGCACAATGCTCACTGAAACAAGGGAGAGGGAGAAGGGAAGAAACTACAGGAGGGACGCTTTGGCTGTGGCGTCATTTAGGCGGGAAAAGATCACGCCGCAGGAAGACGTGCACTAACGAGAACATCTCTGCTTCCTCTCCCCTCTTCCACCTACTTTCTTCCCGACGCTTTTTTATAACCATCAAACACTTAAAGTGGCATTTTGACTTCAAAATGATTGTAGTAGAGGTTCATACAGTATCATTTATCCATGTTTTCGACATTCTCATTCTTGGCATTGCTGTTGAATTCGTTCTCTGTTAATGTAACTAATCTTCTCCCTGGCCTTTCTTACCTTAGTTAGGGTTGGTTTCTTAAAGTGTCTGTTCATCCCGGGATTTCAGGAATAAAGGAATCCGGTTTTAGGTGATGAACACCTCAAGATACAGCAAAAGCAGTAAATTCTGCTCAATGATTGTGGGTGGGGGCGGGGCAGGAGGGAGAGAAGGACTCTTTTGTTTGGTCTTGGTTTTTTTAGAAGTACATCTGGGCAGGGGCAAGAGGCCAAATGTGAAAGTCGTTTAATTAGTGAGAAATGATCACTAGCAATTCTTGACTAGGAAGCTTTGCAGGATTGTTGGGAACAGCTCAATATTAAGAGAGGCAATGTTGAACTGATGAAAAAAGGAAAAGGTGAAGCAAGAGAGAAAGGGGAGAGGAAGTAGCCGGGGCTAGAGGTGCTGGAAGAGTGCAAGTCAACCTGCTTGGCGGTGGGTTTCTTTGAGCCTAGGGGATCATCCCAGTAGGTCTGAATGGGAAAGATTGGAGGGTAAAGTACCGGGCAGAGCTAGGACCTGTGTTGGCTGCAAACACCGGGTTTTATTTTGAGGGAGGATAAAACCGGTGGAGTTATTAGTAGGAGTGCTGTAGCCCCTCCCCCTAGTTTTAAGAAGAACCGGAGCATTGTTTCTGTCTATAATAGAAGTCACAGTGCACCAGAGTAAGAGTTGAAAGTAATGATTGAGTGGTGGTACCTCATTCGGCTCCCAGCATTGTATTATTGCAAAACACAAAACAAAACAAAAAAACAGCTGCACTATTTTGAGAAAATACATTGCCGCTTGTTTTAAATGGAGAAACCAAATAATCGGGATAACCAAAACTCATAGCCTACTTTGTGTTTATTACACTGTAATTTTTAAAAAGCACAATGACTATTCCTAGGTAGCTACTTGATCTTATTTCAAAGGAATTTGAAAGAACTGCGATAAATCAAGCTAACAAAGTATTTGGCTCTCCTAGATATAAAACATGCGTTTTGAGTCAAATTCGAGTTCTTTCAGGTATTAAAATCAGTCGGAAATGAAAAAAAAATTAAAACCAGAAGACTGCAGGAAGGTGACAAATTGGAAAGCATTCAAGTCGAGCTGTAGGGCGTTCTCATGTCAAAGAAGCCCCCTATGAGCGTCAAGAGATTGTGTTCAGTTTATAAAATAATTTCTTTCTCAGAAGATTTCTTTGGGGGTGGGGCAAGAGAATAAATCGATTTCAGTGACAGTGACTTTGCCCGGCAACATGAAATGGGACAGTGATACTTTATTTCCCAGCCCTGTTTCTTTTGTGTGTGGGTGTTTTAAAAGGTATGTATGTGTATTTGCCTTCAATTCTTTGTGAATGAATTTTAGAGGGTTTCTGAGAGTTCCCAGTTGGAAAGAGCTCTACGTTCTACACAACTTGAAAGGCCGATGTCCCTCTCAGGAAATGAATGAGTCGATAACATCTGACACCAGTGACCAGTCCAGTGAACCTTACCTTAATTCCACTAATACTGGAGGCCCCCAAATCGGGGCAAGTTCGTGTATCTTGTAACTATAGCATTAAACGTGCTTCAGCTGTCTTTGGTGATTGTAGTCTTTTCTTAGCTAATTTTAGTCTTGTCTTTATTTTTTTTTCACTAGCAAATTGAGTTTCATCAACCAAACTAAAAACAAAGGAATTAGACATTAGAGTACTATGGAAATAATTTGGGTTCTGCCTAGAAATATTCTTTTTACATTAGGTTTTTTAAATATTTACCAACAAAACGAGGGATTTAAGCTAAATATATGTTTAACAAAACACGTATTTTAGGATAGTCTTTTTTTTAAAAAAAGATTATATTTATGTCATTTTTAACAATCTAAATTCTTTGTCAGAAATATTTTGTGCATTTTCCAGCTGATTTTTTTTCAAAGAAAGTTATTTCTTAAGTATTTTACATCCTGGTAGTTTTTATTAAAAATCGAATTTTTAATTTTCTAGTATACAAAATATTTTCATGTCAAATAGCATTTGTGATGTATAGACCAGGTGATGTATAAGCCAAGTCACACCACTTAACTTAATATTTGGGCTTTCATTGTTTAAACAGTGTATATTTGAGAATGCAAAGAAAATTCAAAATATATAAACTCTGTTTCCCTTGCCAGATTGCTTGTATTTTTGTTAGTTCCTTTTCAGCTCTACACCAGCTGACTCATTGTTATCCTCCCAAAATTAAAAAAGAAAATTGATAAAGGTTTGTACTCTATCCTAAAGAAACAACAAAAAAAGTATACCAAACAAATGAAGCTTCCTAAACTGGTCAGACAGATTCACCCCACTCCCCCACCCCCCAAGAAAAACAACAACAACTGAAAATACTTACAGTTTAGTTAAAAAAAATCTTTATTTCAGATCTGGATGGATTACCACACGTTTTTGTCTTCTAAATAGGACAGAGGGGGTGTAGTGGGAATCCAATATATGTTTTCCAGTGTCTCTCATATTGGCTATATCTAAATTTTAAACTAAACTAAGCTTTCAATAACAGTTGAGAGTGTGTGTAAGGCTGAGAAGGGTGGGTTTAGGGGTGGAGGAGAGGCCTGGGTATAGTGGGGGAGGGGAGGGCTCCAGAGCTTATTGAAGGGAAGTAGTATCTGTAGTTTTTGTGTAAACTGCTTATCTAAGAAAATGGGGGTGGGGATGGGAGAGGCGGAGAATTGGCTGTTGTATATTTTTTATATTCACAAAAGGAAAACATTTTCTTTTTTAAATGAAACAAATATTAGGCAAACTATGCCTAAAGTCCGTATCATAGTATTTCATAAATGCAATAGTATCGACACCGGAATCGTGTAATCAAACCATTTCAATAGCTGAAGCAATATAAAAGGTCCAGTTTTTGAGAGGGAATTACATTTTAAGTGGGAGGCCACCAGATCCGTTAGAAATCGTTCATCTATTTGACTCCACCAATAATGGTGCAGCTTTAAAATGTTAGTGCCCTGGTCAATATTATACCTAATTACCTCCTTTCTCTTGCTCCTCCTATCTCTACTTTATTCTTTCTCCTGCCCATTCCACCTCCCTTCTCCTTTTTTCATACTGTCTTCCCCTCCTCCTCCCTTCCCCTTTTCCACTCCTCCCCTTCATTCCCTTTCCCCTCCCCCTTTCTTCTCTCCTCCCCTCTTCCCCTCCTCCCTTCCCTCCTCTCTGCTCCTGGGGAACAATCGCCGCTGATTGAGGTTCACTCTTATTCTAGGCTAGAAAACTAGGCTCTTATTTAGGAAGTCATTAATCACATCTCCTCCCCCGGAAAAGAGATGGCGGAGAAACCTGTGAAGTACAATTTCTCACTCATCCCCTCCAAAAATGTTATGAAATGCCAAACCTTTACACATTTTGACAGTATTGAGATGATATCAAGTTTCTGGTAGACTTTTAATTTGAATTTGAAATTATTCAACGGAATCAAAGACAGGGCTGTTAGAGGTGTATATCCAATGTTCCGAGTTTTCGTGGAAACATAATTTGGCGTAATTAGCTAGAATATGAAGAATTGTATTTTTCCTCTCTGAAATGTCTTAAAACATGAAGTAATTTATCCTAGTCATTCTTGCTTCTAGCAGTTCTGGTTGGTAGATAGTAAACATGTAATATCAGTTCCATTGTGTAACTTCATGCATTCAAAATACGTGTTGCGGTGGTTTTTCTTTCTTTTTTTAAAGAAACGTTTAGAAATCCCAGTCTATGGCACACGTGTACAAATGTATGACTATGCTATTTGCCTAAATAGATGAATCACAAGGAGCCTGAATTGTATTTGAATAAGATGCACAGGATCAGCCCCCTGATTTACCGTAAAGAAATGTTCCAAATAATCTGTAAGATAACATGCTTGAGTTTTTGTTCATTCATAAATTATTTTGATGTCAGCATAGATGAAATGGCGATTGGTTATCTCTTCCTCTTGCCAACCCCTTAAGGATCCGATGTGAAATTAGTAGCAAGAAAGCATGTAATTGACAAAGTCACGTGTGCTCAGGGGGCCAGAAACTGAGGGAGAGAGAAGGGGGAAAAAAATCAAAAGAGGGAAAGCACATTAGACCATGCGAGCTAAATTTGTGATCGCTCAAAATCAAGATGTTAGACTGATGCAGAAGATCACTTCGTTCCAAAGGGAAAGTTTTCATCTCACGAGTTTGGAGCAGAGGGCCCGTGGGGCAACATGGCCGAAGGTTAATTTTCTTTTCTATTGTTTTACTATGTTTTTTTCTTCTTCCTCTCTCTTCCCCTCCCCCACTCCCACTCTTGCCTGCCTGCCCCCCCTCCCCTTTTGCTCACTACTGTGCGTTTACTTCGCCCCCCCTTCAGATCTCTCAAGGGGGGGGGCTTTCTGCAAACCTATTGTTATAGATCTCCAAAAATGTTTTGTACCGCCCACACTGATTCACAACTTGAAAAGCTTTCTGGGGGCTATTGTTTGAATTGTTCGGGTGTGATTAAGCACAGTTTCAGTTGGTGCACCCGAGAAAACATTTATACACCTGCTCTCTTTCCCCCACTCCTTCCTAACTTTAATCGAAGGTTATTTCATAGGAGATGCATGTTACAAATGATCCTCGTTCCAGTACTATTGCTTGTGCAATAACAAGTAGTTATGCAATCTGCCCGATTTCTCCTTCCTCTCCTCGCCTTGCAAAAAGAATAGTTTCCCAGAACATTTCCCTTTGGAAATGGAATCACTGTTAAACTAACTATATTCTTGTATGCTATAGTGTAATGATGTGCCTGAAAGATGAAGTTAAATGAAAAAATACACGTATGTACAGAAACGTGGGCGCTGATCTGATCTACAGAGTATTACAGGTCCCCCTTTTTAATGACTGCTTACTTCTGGAAAATGTGATTGAAAAGATTTTATAATTTTTCTCCTACCCACTCTCTGAAGCTCTCTCCTTATATTGTAACGTGTGGACATGTGGTATCACTGTAGTAATTCCATGTGTTTTGTCGTCTTCCATCAAAGGGGGGGCAAGTAAAGGTGGTGGAGACGAACCCGGGAAGCTGCAGGAGCAGGAAGAAGAGGAATCCCAGGTTTTGCACGGAACAGGCCACTGCAAATGGTTCAACGTGCGAATGGGATTTGGATTCATCTCCATGATAAACCGAGAGGGAAGCCCCTTGGATGTTCCGGTCGATGTGTTTGTACACCAAGTAAGATAAACTTTTTTTTTCTTTCCGTTTTCTGTCTTTGGATTAATCGCGTAATTGTTATGTGTACAGAAACAGAAGTGCAGTTACATTATTTTAAATTTAGTGAACTGTATATTCGCCGATAAAATAGTGTAGATTTTATGGTCTTTGGGTCAGCTACATGAGAGTCGTCTCTTCCAAAGAGATACGGAATCTTTGAAATTTCTTGTCTCTAGCTTATTTAACATTTTTAGCCCATAGCAAGATTAATAATGGCTTCCCTTAAAGGGTGAATGGTGAAACAACAGATGAACAAATAAAATGCCAATTCACTTCTGAGGTTATATAAGGAAATAGCGTTTGTTTCTACAGGTTCTTATTTAGCCACCTCCTCTCCCAAAAGTTAGGCATATGTTGGGTCTAAATCAGCCAATATATCTTACATAATTATTTGATTTTTATAATAAGATCTGAAAGTGCGCTCCATACTAAGCAGTAATTCTGAGAAAGTTCATGTAGGGAAAGTAGTTTGCTAATCCAGTATTTTGGTTATCTGCAGGGTGTAGGAAATAATAGATCCAAGGATACTGTCCCTTTAAGGGAGGAAACTCAAAAAAGCATGTGGCCAGAGGCGGTTCTAGCTTGTACTTTTAAAATGGACCAGGCTATGCCTTAAAGTAAATGTCTATCTGTACATATAAATTCTTCTGCCTTTATAAAAAATCTCAAATCAGAACCAGAAAGTCAATATTTTGTCTCAGAAATAAAAATTTATTCTACCATTCATTCTACCATAATAGTGTAATTACAATGTTGCAACAATAACATTCACAAAATTACAAGCTTTACCAAATTCCATTAAAAGAGCAGATTTCCTTGAAATGGTATAGAAAGTAGCACTTATAGAAAAGGGGGGGAGGGGACCGGAACTTGAATCTTTTCTGTTTTGCTTTGTAAGTAAAAATAATTGAAAACATTTTTATTAATAATATGTTGGTCTTCTGACTCAAACTTTCAGATCTTTTAGAGAGTATATCCCCAAAATGCTTAGTTTCTTTTTGTGTATAAAATGTATTTATATATACATATATATGTTTGTGTGTATTTACACACATATACATTATACATATATACACATTTGTAGTAGCAGTCTATTCTTTTTTCAAAAAAAAATGTACACAGTTGAAATTAAGCAGATAAGCAATGGAAACCATAAGAAAATATTTCCTTTTGGTCTTCAGTCTTATGGTTCCTGCAGCTTCTTGATTTCACTCTGTAGCATTTTTCCTATTCAAAACGTCTGGGCATCATTATTGTCTGTTTACATGTGGAAGGATAAGCATAAACCATGAAGGGAAGCAGGATTTATATACATAAATATATTATGAGTTCATATGCAAGCTACTTGATTTTATGCTTCCTGTCCAATATGTGGAAATGAAGCCATCCTTTTTGGTTTGTTGTTTTTTTTTTTAATCCAAGAATGAGTTACTAAAATCATTGACATCAGTCTTTTTCTACTCCCACTCCCTTTTAACCTTATTTAGGTTGTTAAATTGTTCTTTACGATCTCATAAATTTGCTTTATAGATAAATGAAAAAATCTCTTTTGCTAATCATACCTTTGTGTAATTTTCTGTTTCCCCCTTTAAAATATACACATATATGTTATGACATTTCATACTTATATTTAAATGTCAGAATTCTTAAATCATACAGCATCCAAATTTAGATTACCTAATGGTTACAATTTGAAATAATTGATAAATATGTCATATTTAGAATTTTAAAGCTTCTGAAAAGGCTTATGATATATACCTCAATAGCCTCTGTATTTTAATATTCTTTTAGCAATAAATTTGCTTTCAAAAATATGTATACATAAGTGAACTTTTAAAATATTGTTGTATGTGTAATTCTTGCAATTATATGAATATATAATTTCAAGTCCTTTTACACAGGCCTGTTATAACTATATAGACCTTAGCAATTTCATAGCTAGTATGAAGTTGATGAGAACATAATGCACTCTTATTTTAAAAATTTAATCTGGTTAATATTTTAAGATTTTTCTAATAATCTTACCAGTTCAATTTTTGGAAGATTTTCTCTATCTCAATTTGACTGGTACTTATCATGGCCTTACCTACTCTTCTTGGATTCACTACTCTGTTTAAAACATTTCCTGGCCTGTGTTGAGAAAGAGTATTCTATTTATATAGGTAGTGTGTAAATCATATGACTGACGGTTTTGAAAGAACCAAAAGCTCTCCTGACTTTGACAGGGCCACTATGAAGAACAGTAAGTCTTTAAATGTGATAGTGTACAATAACTACTTGAATATTTATATAAAGGTATTCTGTAATGTTAGAATGCGCTGATATAATTTATGATTCTTTTTGGAAAATTTTCATTTAAAAATTTAAAATATATTTTCTACATAGTATGCCATTTCTAAGAACTGCCATTCTTCTTGAAGGTATAGTTTTTTAAAAACATCACAATTTTATAATATGGAAGTTATAACAAAGTTTTTATAGTTTGAGCTTTTTTCCCCTCTTTTATGATGTGGAAAATTAAGAACAGTTAACTTAACTGGTATCCACCCAAATCAATTAAGAGCTATCACTGATATTTTGTTAGATGTTCAGAAATGCCTATGATATGGGGTTTGTTGATTTTTGAAGGTTGTCTGACCATGTTTCTTGAAAAGCTTGGATTTGAGGGTTTTCTGAATCATTAATGGGATTGGGTCCTTAATGAAAATAATACACAAAAATGCCTCCCAAAGCACATTTCTGTTGTTTAAAATATGAACATAAATAACCCTAAGCCTATTGTAATATGATTTGTCTAAAATAATGGAGAAGGTGTTCATTTGCTCTTAAAATGATAATTTGGATGCAAAAATTGATAGCACAGTTACAATACAACTTGCCCCAGGAGGGTGTGATGTAAACAATACACATGGAAGAATCTCATGCCTAGGTGCTGCACTATGCATGTCTTTAGAACTGTTGCTGTGTCTATTGAGATTATTATGCGAAAATAACATAAGGGAACTGTTTAAATATTTCTGGTTTTAAAAAAAAGACAATATCTTCTTGTTATCTTGATATTTAATTGGGTACTGTATAATGTTTGAGAGTGAACAAGTGCATATTAACAGTGGTCTAATTAACAACATACTTAATCAGTATTTTAATTTAAGTTTTTAAAGGGGCATATTCAAGCCATAAACCTCCACATCATTTTGTTATATAAATTGATAATGTTAGTTGAAAGAAAAATGCCTAATGATGTTGAATTTTCATTGTAGAGAAATGCAGTTTAGAAGAGTTTTTTATGTAGTAAGCCAAAATAAAATTCTGAAACCTCTGTAAGTGGGTATGTATCAGTTGTGGTTCTATTGAAATAGCAGTGTAAGAATCTTAGGCATATTTATGACCACAGATCCTTATCAAGGTAATTTCATGGATTCTAAAGAATAAAGTTATTATGCAAATTATGATAATTTTACCTTTGTATACCTAGCACAGTGCCTTGCACATAGTAGGAACTTAATAAATATTTGTCCAGTTTGCTTAAGTCAATACTACCTTATTTCTTGTCTTAATATGTATCAACAATAATAAACATAAACACCAGAACTATCATATATTTAAATGACAAGGTGCTGTACATAACATTATACAGAAAAGATATCTGGACTCCATAATGATTGATGGTTGTCAGTGTTCATAACTAAAAGATTTAAAAATAAAATTGTTTCCAACTGATATCTGAAATGCATTCTAATGATTTATTATCCACTATTGTACATGGAATGAGTTTGAAAAAATCATGTCATTCCTTTGAATTATGCTACTTTAGGGAATTTCTATAGTGATTAAATTTTAGAAGTGATTCAGAAAAGGACATTATAATCTAATGTAACCTACCAGTTGATACTGTTTTCTGGTAGACTGTCTAGTGCTTCAGTTTTAACATGTTTATTTTCAAAGTGCCATTACTTCAACTTGTAAGCTAAAATGCACATTTTGAACTATGTTTTATTAGTATAAGAAGGAGGGGTAGGGATTAGTTGTTTTTTAAACAGTGGAACATAGGGTCTCTTGCATCTTAACTGTTTGCAGAATAATTCTTTCCTTTCTTAAGCATACCACATTAAAGACAGCATACAAGCACACTCACATACTGTCACATAAATGAGAAGAGAGTGGAGATAGGGACAAACATAGAGACATAAGACAGAGATAGGAACAGAGAAAAGGAGAGGGAGAGGGTTTTCTTGGTTGTCAAATTTTTATTTGAGACTTATATTTCTAAATTTCTTAAAGAACAAAGTATTATGGATTATAGGATAAATTATGCAAGGGTTTTGACTTTTTTCTGTTGGCAAATGTTTTGAAAACCATTTAGCTCAGTTATTGTATTAGAGTAACCTCAAGTATTTGCCAAGATATGAGCTTTGCTCTCTTCCCTTAGACTTAACATTCATTTTGACAGTCATTTATTTAGTACCTAGTAGGTGCAAGTCACAGTGCTAAATTATACAAAGATAAGTAAGATCATCTTATTGGAATTTTATCTTCAGTAGATCCAGTTTCCATTTTAAGACTTTGATTTCTAAATGATGACATATTGCTCATTATAAACAGTGATTGTTTTCTGAAAAATTTAAGCATTTTATGTTGCATTATTTTGCTTAGAAATATGAGGATATGTAGACAAAAAAGAAATTACAAAATTATTTAAGTGTATAATTATTTCTGAAAAAATCTTCAGAATATTTCTTATTGTTAAGAGTATGGGATTCATATTGACATTATTGTAAATTATAAATATGTATACCCTTTTAATAATTGTTTCACTCAGAGGTGGGGCATCAATCATTTGAATGTAGCAGATTTATGCTTTGATAATCTCTAGAGTAGTTAAAATATTTTTGAAGACATCTTTATTTCAAGAGTTTTTTATTGTGATAATCTTCTTAATACAGTATGTTCATTACCAATTT